CAATTCCAAATGAGCAGCACCATCAGAGTAAGTGTACTCCAAAAGTGACTGATTTGATGGGAGCAACACTTACTTGAAAATATGAGCTGTGGTGAGTTCGTTTAGAGAAAAGAAATTCATCTTAGTTCCAAGACAATGTGGGGTTAAGTCCTAAATGGCTGACACAGACTAGACATGCCAAAGAAGTACAGAATGGAGAGAGAGATTGCTGAGGGCTAGAACATTTCGGGAAGGTTTCCTGGGGAAGGGGGAATTGGAGCTGGACCATGAAAGAAGACTAACAATCAATCAACAACCACATATGAAGCACTGACTGCTATTTGCTAGGTGCTATCCTAAGCGCCGGGAATACAAAGACTGAAGAGAAAAAGTCAGGCCCTAAAGGAGCTTACATTCTCCTGAGGGGCTGGGGTGAATAGCCAAGAAAGAATGGAAGAGGGTTTCAGGCTTGTGGCACAGCAGGAGCAAAGGCGGAGAGCTGAGAATGAGTATGAAATATACGTGTGGATCATGTTGGTTAGAAAATGCTCTTCTTGTCTCGGGGCAGGTGCAGCTGGAGATCCAGAGAAAATGGCGGCAGCGGCACTTGAATAACTGGTTCTGGACACGTCCATCTCTGAGCTCCTCCTTCAGCAGTGGAGCTAGTGGCCTCACCCACATGACAAAAACCTGCTCATTGGAGCAGGGCAGAGGAACTGTCTGGAAAGCCAGTGTCATCTGAGAGGCCAGGGGCTAGGTGGATGGGAGAGGTATTGGTGGGGGATTGAGCACATCAACAGGCACTGGACTGCTCTGGAAAGGTGTAAGAGTCAGTAGGTGTCAGTAGAGATAGGGTTCTCTGAGAGGTCACTGTACCCTACGGAGCCATTGAGACTGTGGAATACCTTCCATAGTGACAGTGACAACTTTCATATTCCCAGCCTGGGTCTACTTCCTTTCGCTTTTTCCTTTCTTTAGAGTGCCAGTTCCTGATCTCACTTGGTTACCTCCCTCCCTCAGTTCTTGGTCAGGCCTCTCTGAGATAGAAGAAGAGGAATCCCCAAAGCAAAGAAATTAAAATTGTGTTGAGCATGTGCAGAGGAAGATGGCTGGGATGGAGAAGAGACTTGAAGACATGTCATAGGAAGAATGATGGAAAGATCTGAATATTTTCAGGAAAACAACTTTTCAAATATTTGAAGGGTTGTCTCATGGAAGAGAGAATATATCTGACCTATGAGTGTGGTTCCATAGGCAAAACTAAAACCAACTGGTGTAAGTTTCAAATATACAGATTTTGGCTCAGTGTAAGAACTTTTTGGCAAGGATAGCTGTCCAAGGACAGAATGGGCTGCCTAGTGATAGTGAGATGACCACTAGTTAGAGATTACAGTAGTGGAAATTCATGCACTCAGGATCAAGTTGGACTGAATAACCTCTGAGACTCCTTCCCGCCCTGGATTCTGTGATTTTGTCTGGAGGCAAGGGGAGAGTAAGTTCAGTAGGGATAGTTGGGGTGCTATCTCTAGGTCCCAGCTCGGATATTTGGACATTTGGAAAGTGGAAGCTGCTGAAAACCAGCAGCCTGTTACAACTATTTAGTGCTTTTTAGTGCTTTACAACTGAAGGGGAAGAGAAGAAAAGGATGTGTTAATAAATCTTGACAGTGGTAGTGATTCATTCCTTATTTATAGGAAAAAAGACATTTTGGGGTACTTGGAGGAAGGAATTGAGAATCCCAAGTTTTTTTCTTACTCTCTTAGGAATTGGAACATGATGGAAAGGCCAGTTCACCTTTACAGACCTCTCCCTCTTTCTCCCCTTCTATACACATAGCAGAAGAGTCAGAGAAGCCTCTTGAATCATGGGATTCTTCTTCCTATCCATTCTCAGCCCTTGCAAAATAGTGAAGAGGTGAATTTGGTCTCTAGCCCTCTTCTGTCTCCTCCCCCTCTTCATCTCTCTTATACCTATATCTGTGTCCCATGCTACCCTCTTGAGTCACCTACTGTTATCATGGTCATCCCACCCCCAACATTGTAATTTACCTGATTTGTATTCTGTCCCTCACTCTCCCTGGTCAGTCCAAGGTGACAACTAATGTAGTAATCTAATAAAAGACAGGTAGTGAAGTGGAAAGAGAACTGGATATTGATTCAAAGGACGTAGGTTCAAATCCTGGTCTGTTACTTATTATCTGTATGACCTTGGGGAGGTCACTTAACTTCTCTGATACTCAATTTCCTTATATATAAAATGTGGAAATTGGACTAGAATGGTTTCTAAGTTTCTTTCCAGCTCTATATCCTATGATCCAAATCTTATCACACCTCTCTTTCTCCTGACATGTGCTTAAGGAAGAAGGTGAGAGGAGAATCCTGCCCTCCCTTTACCCCCAGGTTTATGTGTGTGATTTTTGTGAGGCCAGGGGAGGAGAGAGTGTACAGTAGGATAATGTGGGCAAAGGGTCAAATATTATGGAGGATAAGGGCTGGATAGAGGCCATTAGATTTGATGATTCAGAGATTATTAGTTATTATAAAGAGGTGTTTCACTGTATGTATACACACAGAGATATAAAAATATATTCATTTTCATAGGAGGGAGACTACATGCCTATCTTTCTTGTCTAAGCTTAGAGGAGTAACTTTAATGGAGAGGGGGATTTTAGGCTAGGTATAAAAGGAGAGTGGTGGGGCAACTAGGTGGCATAGTGGATAGAGCACCAGCCCTGAAATCAGGAGGACCTGAGTTCAAATCTGGCCTCAGACCAAGCACTTGACACTTAATAGCTGTGTGACCCTGGGCAAGTCACTTAACCCCAATTGCCTCAAAAAAAAAAGAGAGAGAGAGAGTGAGAGAGAGAGAGAGAGAGAGAGAGAGAGAGAGAGAGAGAGAGAGAAAGAGAGAGAGAGAGAGAGTGGTTCCAAGACTGGATTTGGGAGCAAGAAGGGCTTATTTCTTAAAACACACAATATGGATGTACATGGACACAACCCATGCCCGGAAGCTAAGTTCTGGGTTTGCAGAATCAGTGTTGCAGTTTGCAGGACTCAATCTTGGGGAGTGGAAGGGAATATGCTTCCCAGAAATCATTCTTTGTCTCATGCCCCCATCCAGTTTCCCTTGAGAATGTCAGAATTTGGCTCACTGTTGCCACCCTACCTAGGATCTCCCCAGAACAATAGAATATAGAATATATATAACATATAGAATAAAGACAAATAGAATTTGTCTTTACTGAAAAAGGTAAAAGTGCCCTCAGTTCTCATATAAGCATTCAGGCTAACGAAGCATCAATTACAGGACAAACTTTATTTCACCCAACACAGAAATAAGAGCAAGGAATAGGTTTGCCCCTCCATGTCATGGCTCTGTCCCTTGCTGCTCCTTGGCTTTGGGTCCTGGTTGGTTCAGGAACTCTTTATCCTCTCTCCAGGAATACTGATTTAGGATCGTTACTCTCCCAATGCCTGTATCTGTTACCATCTATGGGGGTCATTTGGTTTCCATTCCAGGAAGTCATTTGCAGCTGCCATTTGAATGAGGTTCCCTGACAGTATGGGGGAACTGCTTGGATAAATGGGCTCCCCATCTCCCCAATCTACATTTGAGTTCTCAGACTCAATGTTTGTTTTCAAGGGTCTAGAACTCTCATAATTGGAAGGCCTTAGAGATTACATACACTCCTAATACATAATTGTAGAATGTTCTCATAGGTATGATTAGAGGTGGCAAGATAATAGCAATTCAAAAAAAAAACTAAAAATTTCAAAATAAGGTAAAAAGGAAAAAGGCCAACATCACACACACACACACACACACACACACACACACAGAGGCCCAGGAAAAATGCTTGATGTTGCTCAAGTCACCTTCTTCCTCCAGACTTGCAGCGCATAGGCATCCTGGATGTGACCCCCACAGATACAACTGCTTGTCTCAAATTGAAGCTGTAGGTTTACATGGACCAGTGTCAGTCTTGGCAGGGATAGGGGTTCCTGCACACATGTACCCCAGGGTCACAAGTTCACTTTGTGTTACTCCTCTTTTATGTGCCTCCCAGCTATGAACTCTGTTCATATCTCCAGATCTGTTTCTATTGCTTTTAGAGCCCACATCGAAGAGTATAGCCCTGACTTACATGAGTCATGGTTCAGTTTTCCTCAATGTGGTATAAATGGACCAAAAAGTACCAATGGGCATGGGTACTCTTTACACTCCATCAAGTAAATAGCATTAAAGTCCCAAATCTCGCATCAGTGTTTATATGTTAGTGTGTTTTAGAGAGAAACATCTTCAACTAAATCCTCATTCTTCATCCTATCAACCTTGACCAAAGCATTCCTGGTCACACTGTCTCCATAGGCATCTCATATTAGCCCAGGAGCTCTAACCTGTGTTTCCCTCTTTTCCTCTTAGAGACTATTTTCTGATTGCATTGTAGCCCATAAAAGAGAAACAAGAATTGTTAATCTTCCTGTCACCCTTCCCAAAGCCCCTACTCAGCAAGATTTTTAGAAATGGGAGGGGAAAGTTCATCTCCCTACAAGACCTAATGACATAAGAACCAGAATTTGAAAACAGGTCCTTTTGACTCAATCCAGTACTTTGCTTCAGTATGTGTGAATTGTTAGTTATTGTGGTCTTTTACACGATTTCACAACCTAAACAATACTGCTGAATAATAACATTTTCTAAATTCTCTACTAAGGATAGCTCAGCGCTCCTGGTCTCTTCATGGGATGTCTCTCAAGTTCAAAGTTAGGGATTGAAAGGTGAGGAGAAGCATAGAAGGAAAAGCACATGCTTTGGGAAAGTAGGTCTGTTTGGGAAGGGCACTAATCTGACTGGCAAGTGGGGGTCTGGATTCTAATTTTAGCCGACACTAATTTGCTGTGTGACTTTGGACATATTGTTTCAACAATCTGGGTTTCAAATTCATTGGTCAAATTGGGAAAGTATCTTCTTTCTCTCCCTCCCAGAACGGTTGTGAGGATCAGAGAGCATTTTATTTAAAAAAATAAAAGTATCATAACGAATATAAGGTGAGCTTCATTCTATTTTGGTTTGAGACAACTAGACTTTTCTGCTGAGACTTCAGACCTTTTCTCTGACTATTGCTGCCATTGTGTGGGAAGGGAAAGGGAATTTGTTGATATCAATAGCCCTAGGTCCCTTCCTTAATTCCAGGTGCCCTTATTGGCAGACACGCTCAGAACGTGTGTAATCTGAATTACTTTGTTGACATTACTTAGTCCTTGAGGGCTGACTCTTCATTTAAAGAACAAACACCACTCCACAAAGAAACCCAGTGAGGCTTAACATTGGAAAAGGTGCACACATTTGCCTTTTGCCACTAGGCTACAGATAGAAAATGTGAGTACTGATAAGTATGTCTTGCACTTAGAACATAGATAAAAAATGTCCGAGTGCAATGTCTAGTCTCTCTTGCCGGAGAGAGGCTAAATAAAGAGGGGGTAAAAGTCCCTCTGCTGATGCAGCTGGGTGTCCCACAGTGTCCAGAGAAGACCAAGCTTCAAAGTCTCCTTGAGGTCCGGGGGTCTCTTTCCACAAAAACAATGAGCTCCCAGGCCACTCAGCCTCCGTGCCAGGAGTAAGGCCAAGGTTAGCCTAAATGACTGGGTATTTTTTAGGTTTCCCTGGGGCCAGTTACAGATTTCATCACAGGGAAAGGGACTTTTGATTAAATGTCAAGAGTTCCTGAAAATTCGGGGACAGTTTGGTTATTCCTATCCTATTCCTATTCCATCCCACTCCACTCCACAATCCTCACAGTCATCAATCCTCAGTTAGAATTTTAGTATTTATTTACATCTTTTTAAATCTCCTGTAAGAACTTAGATCCCCATCCAACTTTCTGCTGCAATCTTTACTCTGCAGCAGTCCTTTGTTATTCAGAATGTCACTAATACCCAATCGTTAGCTGATAGTTAGAAAAACTACCCCTGGGTCTCTAATTTTTGTAAATCCCTATTCACTTTCTCAAAGGTCCCAATCTAGCAAGAATCTGACATTAGGGGAATGGTATTTAACTATCTGGTTGTAGCTAATTTCAGCTTGTCTCTCCCAGAATGCTATAAGGTTATTGACAAACATTCATTATTATCCCTTGGTGCCTGGAACCTTCCTCCAGAAAGATTCTCTGTTTTTATGGTCAGAGGCATGGTATGCTTTAAAATGCAGCAATGTATTTATTTACAAGTGCCTAAAATAGACCGTTCCCAGAGCATGGACACCTTTCCCAGACTGTACCCCATTTCCCCCAAGGGTCTTTCAAATAAATGTTAAAATGAAGTAACTACTGTCTTGGTAGGTAAAGAATTTAGCCCAGCATAGAGCTGGTCACCACCTCCAAAAGACAGATACACAGAGTGGCCCTTAAGAAGAGCAGTGACTAGAATGGAACATCCAGAGAACATAGTAGGTAGAACTCTGGTCAGTTGTGTCAAGCCAGGGAGAAAAAAGATGTTTGAGCAAAAGTCTGAGCAGAGGGGAAGAGGCTGAGATTAACCAGTACAGACCAGATGGACAGGAGGAGAGGGAAGACCTGAGGGGTAGAGTTATAGAAATGAAAAGAATGTCGACAGATAGGAATGGAAATGATGGACCGAGGGAAACCCTCCACCCCAGACTGGCCTGGGAGGACCTAGAAGGGAGACAATCAAAGCGAAAGAATGCAGATAAATTCCAGCTGGCAAAGATGGTAATCTATACTCATCTCTACCTAAGAAGAAACCCTCCTTTTCAGAAACACACACACAGAAAGTTAATGATGGACATTAATCATTATCCAAGGTCTGACACCTAGCAATTGGCAAAGTCCAGCAGGTCAAGGTATATGTACTAATTAAGACTTCTTGCTTTTAAATAAGTTGTGTTCTGGGAATGGAAAACACTGAATTAATTTACTCTTCCATTGATGCTGTTAGTGGTGCCTGCTTAAGTAAGCACGCATGAACACAGCAACACAACACAACACACACACACACACACACACACACACACACACACACACACACACACATGAATGTGTCCCTGATGTTAGAAGTCAGTAAAAGGCAACTCAGTGAGCAGAAACAACAATGAAACAAACACTGTTGAGCTTAGACCAGAAAAGGAAAATCACTTGGCCAGCAGGTGGAGAGCAGTAATCCTACAACTGAGCTCTTTTCTTCCAGAGGTATCCACATTGCCAGAGGCCCCACAGAATTTGACTATGCAGTGATTGAAAGACCCCACCCCCAAATTCAGGGATCCAATTAAACCAGATCACATAAAGTTTTTATTGAGCTCCTAATTCGTTCAAGGGATTCTAAAGACATCTTGAGCTCCAGATCAGCCACACACCTCAGAAGACTGTCAGGTGGGTGATCTTCCCACTAGAGATCGCATCGCGTGGTTATTCTACTATTGGGGCAGATGAACAACAAAGGTATAAAAATTCTTCAATAAAAAAAATCTAAGAAGTTTCTAAGAAATATTATGAAATGCATAAGGAATGAAATTCTCACAAGCTCTTTCTCCTTTCAGTAATAAAATGGTTGCTTAACCTTAGAAAATTTGCTCCACTTTGAATGAAAGTGGTGATTCTCAAGGAAGTATTTTTCTTTTCAAAAAGTGGAATCTTACCTTATAAATGGGAGTGGGTCGGAGAGTGGGCAAGAATGCTGAAAATTTAAGCCAGGTACTTTTACTTTCATTTTCCTGGGTATTTCAGAACAAAACTTGGTTTTCAATCTAAATAATGGGGAAGAAAAACAGGGAGAGAGATAGGAAAGGGGATGGAGATGGACAAAAAGAGAGGAGATAAGAGCAGGGGAAAGAAGACTGGGTGTAGCTGCAATCAAATCAGATTAAACAGCAGTCCTTAGAAACTTCTCAGATATATGTGTAGTCCTCTTTTAATGGGACACAGCCAACTGCAGGAGATACTCCTGGAGGAAGATTTTGAGGTCAAAGATGAATCCTTAAAGAACTGGGCCAAGGAGGGAGGAGTTCCTCAAGAATAATCTAAGCTTGTTATTTTTTTTTTTAAGCAACTCAGTAGACCCCATGCTAATACAGAAAAAGTTAAGTGTGAATTTCCTGTTAGGAACTGTGCATGGATTCAACACTATTCAAATGCTGTTGAGAGTAGACAGAGAAAACTACCTAAAAATTCTTTAATTTAAAAAAAAATACATTTGAGAAAGGAATCACCTCTTGAATCTAGATGGACTCTCCCTTCTTTGTACTCTGCTACTGAGCTGTCACCTGGGGTTTCCTTGACTGCATACCCCACAGGTCATGGCCAACAGGCAACCTTTCAAAGGGTATCTTTCTACCCTAGAAACAAAGCTTTGGAATACTGTTAGCAGCTCCTTATTTGACCACTGGAAGATCCCTCCCCTAAAGTGTTTCCACAGCCCTAGCCTATTTCACTTAAATATCACTTCTCTGCAAAATTACTGGCATCCGAGCCTTGACTCCAACTTTTTTTCTTAAGACCTCCAGATGAATGTTTTGTTTTTTAAAATAATAAAGAAACTCCACAAAGAAGTGGTACATGACTTTGAAGAAATCAGTTGCTTTACAGAGTCTGTTTCACCCAGGCATCAAGTAGAAGTTCACTCTCAGGAAGGACTGAGATCTCTCATTTTCTAAAAATTCTTTGGTCCATTCCACTGGTGTGTGATGTTATTGATGTGAAGGCCACTGATTCCATTTAGGAAGAAGAGGAAGGAAGAGGTGAACTCACACCAGAACATCAAGGTGAAACCTGTGAAGGTGACCTGGTCCCTGAAGAGGATCACAAAACTGAAGAGCCCCATAGAAGACAAGACAAAAGAGATCAGGATGAGGATGGAGCCCATGGCCCATTTCCGCCGAGAGAGGGAATCTTCACACACCTGGGAGACCATCAGGAGCTCCAGGCCAAAGATGGCCACCACCACAGCCAGAGCCCCCATACTTCGGGCCAGGACCATACCCACTGCCAGTCCATCCACCTGGGCAAGGTGCAAGTCTGTGTAGCAATTCAGCTCACTATTATTGGTGAAAGCACAGAAGTGCCATAGGCCAAAGAGCTGATCTTTCACCAGGAGCCAGTGGCCATCACATACAGAGACAGAAGATAGGACCACACCAATGGCAGCACACAGAATGATTAGGGTTCGGATCCATGATTCAAAGAAGGACTTGGTTGGCCTCTTTGGAGCCAGTAGCTTCTGAGCCTGGAAGAAAGCATGCCACATGAAATTAGAGATTCTACAGTCTAGCATCAGTGTCCATTTTGAGTTTTATCAAATGAGTTAACATAGGTAAAGTGCCCTGAAAATCTTAAAGCACTATGCTAGCTATTGTTGTTGCTATTATCACCCACAGGTCCGTATATAAAGGCTCCTTTCTACTCAAGCTATTCTGTCTCCCAAACCTGCCCTGTGCTTCTGTAGCTCCAAATCTTTGCTCCTGCCATCCCTTCTCCCAAGCATGTCATTTTTCCCCCTCTAGGGCAAAATTCTTACCTAATGAGGTCTGATGAAAAGAGAGCTGGATGGAGAATCAGACCCTAATCTATTCCCAGCACTGCCACGAACATGTTAGGTTACCTTGGGCAAGTCATTCATAGAACAGTAGGATTTATAGTGCAGTGTTGGAAAAGATTGTAATCATCACTTAGCCCAATTCCCTCATTTTACAGCTGAGAAAAACTGAGGTCTAGAGAGAATAAGTGATGTGCCCAACATCACAGGCAGTCAGAAGTAGAAGTAGGCAGTATTTGGACTTGGATCTTCTGACTTCATATCTTTATAAGACTAGACCTTGTGGGCCTGAGTTTCAACTCTAAAATGGTTCCTCAAGAGTGACCGGAGCAGAAGGTTTAAAAAAACCCCAAAACTCAGCATTGTTGTATTCTTGATAAAACCTGATTAATAAAAGGAAACTGGTAGCAAAGACAACTGCCTGGAAAAAATGGTGTTAACTGTAAAACCTGGTGGGATGGGTGGGCAGATTAGGCAGACTGCTGTTTAATCTGATTTGATTGCAGCTACACCCAGTCTTCTTTCCCCTGCTCTTATCTCCTCTCTTTTTGTCCATCTCCATCCCCTTTCCTATCTCTCTCCCTGTTTTTCTTCCCCATTATTTAGATTGAAAACCAAGTTTTGTTCTGAAATACCCAGGAAAATGAAAGTAAAAGTACCTGGCTTAAATTTTCAGCATTCTTGCCCACTCTCCGACCCACTCCCATTTATAAGGTAAGATTCCACTTTTTGAAAAGAAAAATACTTCCTTGAGAATCACCACTTTCATTCAAAGTGGAGTCAGTATACGAGGATCACTCCTACCCTCCCTTCCCACTTTTTCACTCTCAGAGTTTCATTTAAATAAATGTTTTTGCTTTCAAAGCACAAGTACACCTATGATTGTGCTTTAAAATCATTTTCATTTTGTGAAGTAGGCAGGGTAGGTATCATTATAGCCAGCATCATCTGGAGAAACTGAATCATAGAGAGACTGTCACATGCCTGAAACCCAATTGCTATGGAAGTAACTATGAGTTGATACACTCCTCTGTCTTTGGTCATGAACAACACAAGGTAGTAGTCATTGCTTAACTGCTAACTACATCAGTTATGTAACTTTGGGCAACTCACTTAAGTCACGTTAAGTTCCTCAATAGGTACAATGGAGACGATGACATCTGTACTATCTATTTCATGGGGATAAATAGGTTTTGAAAAACTAAAAACATTTTTTTTTGCAACCCAAGAAAAAGCACCCAACACAAAATTATTATCATCATGTGAATGCAGTTAATGATCTCTAAGATCTCTTCCAGCTCTAAATCCTAAAATTCTTCCATTAGGTTGTAAGCTCCATGAAGGTAGGTACTGTCTTTTGTCTCTATTTGTATACCCAGAACTTAGCACAGTGCCTGTCATTTCATAGGTGCTTAACAAAAGTTTATTATTTGATTCCCAAATCCATTGCAGCCATGGACAGAGAAACCTTTCACCCTTAAAGACAGCTCCATCAGCAAAACAGGTACACACTGCTCCACCTGTCCTACGTAGAGAAAGGACTTTAGTCTTCAGGGCTACCCAGTATCAGAAAGAGATATTCAGTGGTGGAAGTGTTTTGTTTCTTTTTAAAGAATCATTGAGTTTTCAGTTACCAGGGAAATTAAAAGATTGCCTCTGAGCTAGGTTATACCAAATCTCTTCACCCATACCCACACAAAAAGTATCCTTAAATTTCTAACCTCTCTCTCTCTCTCACACACTCACTCTCTCTTGTCTCTCTCCCCTCCTGAAGCTGTTTGAAAATTTCCCAAAGTCCCTTATGACTCTAATATTCTGTGGTTCTACTATGATAGCTAAAATGAGGAGGTGGGAATTACTTCTACCCATCCATGGCTTTTCTCTAAGCTCTCGACCCTAGTAATGGTAACTTGGTCAAATGCTAGAACTTGCCAACATCTGCTTTTCTTTTAAAGAGGAAACAGTTACATGGCAGTAAGGAAAGAAGTTGGCTAGAAAAGCAAACCTGTATGTTCTCTTAGCAAACTTAATGGCAAAGCAAATCCCACGATCTTTGAGAAACATATTTTTTGGGAACTACAATTAAAGGCTGCAAGAGAAAAGGAAAACTGCTCACAGAGCAGGATCATTTCCCCATGGCCCTAAACCTAAACTACTTAGCAATCCCAATCCCCACTGCAGGCACTAGATCTTGTGTTTTCTGATGTTATCCTTTTTCTATAGTTATTCCATTATCTCTTACAACTACAAAAAAGATCCTTAAAGGGTTTGATTTGACAGGCCTATTAGATTAGAAAATTGTTTTACAAATCAGATAGATTATTCATATCTCCCAAAGATTCGAATACTTTGCAATTTTCAAAACACTTGCATTATCTTGTTTGCTCCACAGACATATTGTGAAATAGGCAGGGCAGGTAATAATTGTTTTAATTTTACAGATGAAGAAACTAAGGTCCTAGGAGTTTGAAAAGCTGAAAGTCACTCAGCTAGTTAAGTAGTGAACTAGAATTCGGGTTTTTTTGTCTCTCAGAGAAGGAAGCATCTGGTTTTGCCACTTTGGAGAGGTAGATAAGGATGGAATTGGGGAGGTGGGGATACCTGGACGTAACAACAGGGAAGTTTAGGGCCCTTACCAACAATTCCTGACAACAATTCCTTATTTTACCAATGGATCCCTCTACATTGGAGTCTAGAGTACTTTTACAAATTCCTTTACTGAACCAATTGACCAAAGTGGGAAAGGCAAATATGTTTGACGATGGGAGGGGAGGAGGTGAAAGTGGGAAGGGTTAAGAAAGGCACGACTGAAAAACATAAAACAACAAACTTTGGATTGCAAGCCCCTAGCAATTAGATTATATTCTGAAATGTAGAGAAAGAAATTCTGAAAAGATCTGGAAAAGTGCAAGCAAACAGCAGCAGAATTTTTTTTTAAAGTCAATTGGCAAAAACTTTTCAGGGAATAGTACCACAGCTGTCCCACTGTAGGGAAGTGTCAAGTCATCCTCGGAGTATTTGTACGAAATTTAACGCAGGTTTTCCAACTGGATCTCCCTTTGGCTTTATTCTATTTTACACTTCCTTTTTGTGGGGAAACCCTCTCAATAGATAGGGTTATCCCTAGAGCCAGGAGCCAGAGTTCCGATGGAATCTGGGCGAGAAGGGCAGGCAGAGAACAGAAGAGACAAGTGTCCATCTCCCGAATCTGCAACTCCGAGCTTTTTTTTCCCACCTCTCCAACCCCCATGCTTGCACTAGAACAGAAATTAACTCAGAATCGGAACCAAAGGCTGACACCAGGGAGTTAGATAGCTCAAGCTGGGGCAGTCCCAGGCTGTCTCCTGCTACAGTAAGAGGAGCAAGTAACCTCCCAGGCCAACTTGGGGACCGGGATAAGCCAAATTCGTCTACAACAAGGTGGCTGTGGGGAAGGAGAGGACGCCTCTCTGCCCAGCCTCCGGGAATCTGGAGAGTACAGGAGACGCATGCCGGAGCTCGAATGGGCACAGAGACCCCCAGCTCCTCAGTAGGAGACATCCATGCCCCAGGCCAAAGTTTCTCGCAGCATCTCCCTTCTCGGGGTCCCCTCCAGTATACCTGAATCGCTATGGCCGTCATGCCGTCAGCAGTAGAGAACTCAGCTGATGGACGAAGCAGCCTCGACTCCTCCGCACTGGCCAAAGTGCCTCCAGCAACTGGCTGGCTAGTTGCAGCCGCACGTCGGGTGAGAAGGGGGCGGAGCCAAGACTCGGGAGCCAAGGGGCAAGGGGGAGGGGAGGATGGTTAAAAACAGAGCAATTAACCCCCGGCTGGTTGCGCCGCCCCGCCCCAGGCTACTCTAGGCTGCTCCCCTTACGCTGAGTCAGCTAGTGCGGTCCGGAGGAGTCTCGAGAGATGTTGAAGGAGGGAGCATTAAGGGACATGGGTTTTGGGGAAGTGCATCCTCGGGCTAAGAATGGGGGGGCTGGAGTTGCGAAAGGGACCCCTAGAGAGGCAGGGGAGAAGGCTCTGGGGAGAGTGAGGCTGGCTCTCGTGGCTGATGTTTGGTGTCACGTACTTGCTAATGTCCTTAAACTAGCTCTCGGGTTTCACTTGTAGTCTGGTCTCTCTAACTGGAGTGTAAATTCCTCGAGGGAAGGCAGGCGGGTAGCGGAAAAAGCTACTGAGACCAGAAGCTCGAACCAGTGACCTTGGGCAGTAACTTAACTTCTCCCTGCTTCAGTTTTCTTTCTTGAAAGGGTGTGTGTGGTTGGAGGTGGGATGGGTGGGGAAGAGAAAAATAACTTTTCTCTCCTTCACGAGGTGGGATAAAATAGAGTAGATATGAGAGTGCTTTTTTCAAAGGTCAGTGCCATTCAACCTATTTGAGCAGTTACTGCGCAAAGATAGAATACAATCTCTGCGATCCAGAGTCTAATTCTACAATATAAGTACACAAATAACTATGTTAGAAGGGAAGGAGGGAAGAGCAAATGAGGTGTCTAGGCAAAGTACTATGAAGAATTTGAGATGAGAGGTCATTTTCATCTTTGGCTGAAGGGCAGGGGTCAGAGGTGGCATGTGAGTTAGGCCTTGAATAGATGGAGAAGCATCAACAGATATAGGGAGACGGAGTAGGGACTATTCTAAGCATGGAAGGTTTTGTGAGCAAAGATAAAAAGAGACCGGAGAGCGGAGGACAAAAAGGAAGGACAGAGGGTAGTCCTGAATGGCTCCAAAGGGGAAACGTAAAAAGAAATGGTGTAATATGAGGTTAAACATCTTAGGGGTCCTGGGATTCAACTATCGAGACTTAGGGCCATGGGGATTCGCCTGGGGCTTTTAACGTGAAAGTGACCGGATCGGAGTGGTGCTTTAAGATTACTCCAAGCTAAGTATCGAACAGAGGATAGAGTAGAGACAGTCAGACTGATTAGGGATCTGAATAGGGTGGTTGCAGTTCGAATGCAGAAGAGGTGCAGGTTGTTTAGAGATATGGCAGAGGTAGAAAGGATTTTGTTATATTTGAGTCAGGTATCGGGGAAAACCATTGAAGATTCCAAGCAGGTTTTGAGACTGGGTGGGAAAATAGATGAGCTCTTGGCTAAGAGCTAACCATGCGTGGACACCACCTCTCCGCTTTTTCTGCTAGCCTTCTTTCTATCCCTCCTTAGTGGGTTGTCATTAAGTAGTTAGACTCCTTGTGACCCCATCTGGGGTTTTCTTGGGAAAAAATACTGGAGTTGATGGGGTTATGGGACCTGGACTCCTAAAAGGAAAAGACCACATCTCTAGAAACAACTCAATTCCAGAATTTTCCCATACATTCCAGCAGCCCAGATCACTGGCCCACCCCCAGACTACTTGCATGTACTGACCACTCTTCAATCCCACCTAGATCGTCTAATTAGCCTACTTGATATTCCTTTCACTGTTGCACCTGGCCTACCCCAGACTACTTATCACTCCTTAATCCCATCCAGATCCTTTCACTGTCCCTTTTGTATATAAGCATCAGTTAAGTTGCAGGTTCTGTAAGAACCCTGCCCTCTTCCAGCAGGACATTACAATATAATTTGCTCCCTGGCCTGAAGAAGGCTTGAGTGAATTCATTCTAGACATATACCGCCCTGTACCCTGACATTTTGGGATCCCAGTAATCCCAAACCTCGACATTGTGGTTTGCCCTTTCCTTGTCTAGTCCATTTTACAGATGAGGAAACGGGCAGAGTTAGTGACTTGCCCAGGGTCACACAGCTAGGAAGTGTCTGAGGCCATGATTTAGACTCACCAAGATGAGTCTTCCTGATTTCAAGCCCAGAGCTCCATCCACTTTGCAATTTAGCTGCCCTCTTTACAGGTTATCTTCCCCCATTAGAATGTAAACTCCTTGAGGGCAGAGACTGTCTTTCTTGCTGGTATTTGCACCCCAGCAATTAGAACAGTGCAATGAATAAATTCTGTGTCTCTGTCCCTGTATCTGTGTCTGTCTGTCTGTCTGTCTCTCTGTGTGTTTGTGTGAGTCTCTCTGTGTGTCCATGGGGTGTCCCATATTCTCCCTTCCCTCTCACCTCCACTGTTGGATGGGATTTGCATGCCACCATTCTCCATGCCCTCTTTATCTCAGGAAATTTAATTAACTGTACCACACTATAGCACTTTAGATCATATTTTAGCCTAGGGGCAATCTAGTAGCCCCTCAGGTCCACCTGGTATCCTTCTCTACCACTTTTTGGAGTTTATATTAAATGAAAAAGTTAGGCCTACAATCACAATCACATACATACACAAGAGCCTCCAGTTAGAGGAAAATTCCTAACATTTAGGTAGAGGCTTGGCTCTCTGCCTTAATTTAATTTATGTTAATCTCTAACTAACCTCTAGTCTCTTTATGATTCAAGCAAAATTCAGGTTACCAGTCTGGGTAGAGAAGTGAACCGAGTGTGTTGCTTGTTGATTTGTTTGTTGGTAGACAGGCATGGGGAGGGGAAATTAGGGAAAGCACAGACCTTTTCTTAGAACCTCCCTCTGTCCTTGAATAGTGGGTACAAGGACAGCTTCAGCCTGAAACTTCTGCCTGTGATGCCTGTAAGGCTGATGGCCCTCTTAGATCTCTCCCTTCTTTGCCCAAACTCAGCCGCTTCTTTCCTCCCCCCATCCCCTTTCTCTTTCCTTGCTGCCTCTTGGATGCTGATTATTTCCAGCTCAGCTCTTGAAGTCTTCCACTCATTCCTATGTGCGCCTTTATTGTCTCTGCCTCTCATTGAAAAAAAAAAACAACAACAAACTCCATCCTATAGTCCCTGGGAGCTAGGAAGAAATTCCACCCCCAGAGCCTTTGGTGACTTAGGCCCCTCAAACAGGTCCAAGTCTAACCAGAATGACTTTTACATATCTATCTTATCTATCTTTTCTGGGCCATAGTGTTTCTCTGTGACCCCAGGGGACCCTGGGGGAGGGGTGACAAGACCCCCTCTGGATTACTCTGGGAGTATTATTAGCTAGGCTTCTTGATTCCCCACACTCACTTCTTGGTGAAGTAAAAACATTTTCATTCTCTGCCTATATTACTCCCTCTCTTCCTGCATCTTCCTGCTATGCAGTCGGCCCTTCCTTGCTTGGGGGATTGCTTCGTGGCACTTGTTTACTTCTGGACGCAGTTTTCTCTCTCCTAACACAGGCTTTTCTTTCTCATTATTTCTCTTGGCCACTGGGGTCACAAGGTGACATTTCTGCTGTGAGTTGCAAAAATGACCTGACTGAATGAGCCAGATTCTGCCAGTTTGGGTTAGCTTCTGATAACTCAGCTGCTGGTGTGTCCACAGTTCAGATTTTGAGGAAGCCTTAATGACGACTGATAGAAAAGAGAATAAATGTGCTCTCTAAAACTTTACTCAGAAAGCCAAATTCTGTAAACTGAATTCTATTTTTCCCCTTCAGTCTTTTTTAATGTTTGTTTTTCATTTTTGTTGGCTATGAAAGTCAATTTAACACAATTCTTTACACATAATATCTATCGATCAACAAGCATTTATTAAGTACCTACTACATCAGACACCAAGCTAGGAGCTGGGGAATAGAGTTAGAATGAAACTTCCTATTCCCTAGGAGTTACATTCTAATGGAAACAGCCAGCATGTCCAGGGTAAGTATAAGGTAGTTAGGGAGCTGAGGACAATAGAAGTTGGGAGGAATCAAGAAAGGCCTTATATCAAAGGTGGAGCTTGAAGGAAAGGAAGGATTCAGAGAGGAAGAGGTGATGAATTATAGGCTTGGGGAATGAAAGGCACAGAGTGGGAAGGTGAAGGGAAGAGAAGCTTGGCAGGATCAAAGAGTGCTCCAGGGTGAGTGATGTACAATGAAACTTGACAGATAGTCCTGGGTCAGTTGTAAAGAGATTTAGAACTAAATAAAACACAACTATATTTATTATCTACATTATATTCAACCACCGAGGCAACCATAGAGCCCCTGGAGTTTAGTGAGTAGAGGCCTGACATGGTCAGATTAAGGAAAATCATTTTGGCTGCTGTGTGGAGGATGTACTGGAGTGGGGAGGGATTTGAAGCAGGGAGACTACTTAGAAGTCACTAGGCCAGGCAGAAAGTAGTGAGAACTGGAACTAGGGTGGTATTGGTGTGAATAGAGAAAAAGATGGGGAAGTAGAAGCTGCAACATGAGGTAACTGATTGAATATGTTTGGGGAGGGAGAGTGAAGAATCAAAGATTATACAGGGTTTACAAGCCTGAGTGACTTGTGGTGCCTTTGACAGAAACGCAAAAGTTTGGAAGAGAATTTGTTTTTGCAGGGAAGAGAACCAGTTATTTTGGATGGGCCGAATTTGAGATATCTTCTTCAATTGTTTCCTAGGCCCTCCTCTTTGTATTGGCCATGCTCTTTTAAATCCTGTGCTCCAGTTTCAGCTGAAGAGGTGCCCTTCACCTTGCCAAGGTCAACCCCACTACATACGCTTGATCTCATCCCCTCCCTTTCCAGCAGACAGCCCCCACTGTCATCCCTATCCTCTTTCCTTTCTTCAGTCTCTACCCACTGGCTTCTCTGCCCCTTATGAACACACCCACATCTACACCAACCCATCCCACCATCCTTGCTAGCTGTCATCCTATGCCTCTTTTCCCCTTCTCCACTAAACTCCTTTAAAAAGCTGTCTACACACTTAAGTTTTCCACTTCCTCTTTTCTCACTCTTTTCCTAAACTTCCTGAAATCTGGCTTCCAAATTCATCATTAAACTGAAACTATTCTCTCCAAAATGACCAATAATCTCAAATGCC